GAAAGAGTGGTTTTCTTGTGAGAATGTGCCCCCACACGTAATTGGGTATTTTTGTCTTTGGATTTCCGGTGTGCATTCATTCTGGTGTGCAGTTATTGTTTGGTCTCTGTGTATTTTCCATCAGGGCATTTGGTGCATTAGATGACATTATATTACATTTCTGGTGCAGTTGTAAGATCCAGGAACGCTGATAACTCTGTTGTAGGGTGTAGCAATTGTGGGGGTGGTGGAGGCGTGTTGGCAGAATTTGCATTTCTTGTCATGGCATGGTCTGGATCCATTTGGTGTGTTTGCTTCTGGTGATGAGGTTAGTGAGGTTCAGTGCTTGTTTGAAGGCTAGGATGGGTGGCTCTGGGATGATCTCTTTAGGAATATGGTCTCCTTCTAGTATGGGTTGCGATTGTTTGAGGATTTTCCTTATGGGTTCAAGGTAGGGGTGATGTCATAACCAACGGTGTGTGATTTATGGGGGGTTTTCTTCTGTAGCGCAGCAGTTCTTCACGTGGTATCTGGGTGGTTCTTTCAAAAGTGCGATCTATCTCTGGAGGAGTGTCCTTGTTGAGTGAAAGCCTTTTTAAGAAACCTACACATCTAAAAGCTGAAGGCATTTAGAGAACTGTGACCCGAAGTGTTTTTCCTGATTTATTTTTCTCTTGTATTTGTATTTCCTCCACATGAGATTTGTTCTGACTCGGTGCATGCGAATCTCACGTGGGAATGGATGCATGTCAAGTTACCTACCACCTGGCTGCCAGGAAAAGTCTAGTTGTACCCCTTTGTTTATGTGGCATTATGAGTGCTATGGTGTTTTGTACCTTACACCATAGACAGATAATGGGGATATTACTGAAGAGTCTGTGCTGCTTTCTTGTCTTCAGATACTTTTGTTGGAAAGCTTTTGTTTTGACTCTGTACTAGGAGCTAGTTGGAAAGTGTCCCCTGTTCTTCATCTCTGCTCTAGCAGTGTCCTGTAAATATCTGCATCTTGGTGACTTTTCTCCAGACTAGACTAGACATGGAGCCCTGCTAACTGGTGGTCAAGTCCAGCTGCTGTGGAATCATGGGGATGGGGATGGCTACTTCAGTGGTCATGTAATGTACATGAATATGCTGCAGCCTGATACCAGAAAGGGTAATGGGTACCATTCCAACAAGAGGATCTTGAAGTAATGGGGTACGCAGTTACATGGAATAAACTGTTAGAGGATGGCTTCTAGTTGAATGTAAGGAAGAACTTCTTTATAGTAAGGGTGACCAGAATCTGGAATAGATTTCCCAAGGAGGTGGTGCAGTCCGCAACCTTGTAAGTCTTCAAGAGGAGCCTGGACAGACACCTTGCTGGGATAATTTGATTTCAACATTAATTTGTGGCCAGAGCAAGGGGGTTGGACTTGCTGAACTTTTGAGGTCCCTTCCAGCTCTTATTTTCTATGATTCTGTGGGTGGGTGTTGCAGGGCGCTAAGGTGCCTGCTCCTTTAAGAGTGGAAGAAGCCTAGATCAGGGATGGGCAATTACTTTGGGCAGAAGGCTGCTTTGGCAAGCCATCGAGGGCTGCATGGCAGGCAGCCTGGGGCAGATAAATATTAATTTTCTAAAATTTTTAGGGTTCCTGTGGGCCAGGCAGAATGGCCTGGCAGGCCGCATCTGGCCCACGGGCTGCATTTTGCCTGCCCCTGGCCTAGATAGAGGGCCCTAGGAGCCAGGCAGAGCCTCACAGCTGCAGGTGGCCAGGGCAACAGGTTAAGGGAGATACTAGCTGGCATCTGCACCTGGTCAGCTGACCAGAAGGAAGCAGGGCCTTGAGCATCCCCAGCAGTGGGACTGGGAGAGTTAGTTCTCTGGCAGCTGCCAGGGGAAGGAGCTCCTGCAGGGGAGAACTACCCAGAGACACTGGTGGCCTGAACTGCTGCTTATATGGTTAATGGGGCTCCAGAAGCCCATAAGGTACCCAGGGCTGGGAGGCACTCAGTGCTTGAGGAGAAGTTTGTTTTTTTAAAGAGACAGAGTGTGACTTGCATTGTTTGTATTACGTTATAGCCCAGGGTCTTGTTTCTCTGTTGTCTTTTATACTGGTGGACTGGGATGAGGCCAACTGGGGAGGAGGAGGCCTCATAGGGGGCACACTGCTGTGTGGAGCCCCAGCACCAAAAAGGGCACAGTGACAGCGCCAGAGGCCCAGTGATATACCATCTGCGAGGCATGGGGCAGTTTTGGAGCCATGCATCTAACCCATAAGGCTTGGGGTGTCCTGCAGGGACCCAGCCAGGGGTCTAAGAACCCATAGGGTTTAGTGGGGTCCATCAGGACTGTGACTGCACAACAACTTGAGGGCAGCCTCCCTATCTATTATCTAAACCAACAAGACATGGCATGTGAGACTAGAAGGCGCCTGCAGGGCGAAGCTGGCATGGTCACAGAGCCCTAGGGGCATAATGGCCATCTCTGGGGACCCCACAAAGTGACAGTGGGTCATTCCACTTAGGCAGCTCTTTTCTTTCATATGGCATCATATATCAGCTTCCAAGTCTACAAACCACTGTCTGGTATTATCGTTGAATGTCCAGATTCTGTCTACCCCATCTGGGCATTCGTAAAGATTGCAGCTTTTGATTAAGTGCTGTGCTGTTCGTTGGATACCTCATTCACACAGGGGGCTGTCCAAGATGTTCATCTTGTGAAATGTTGTAGTTAAGTGTATAGTAGTAGTGAGAGAACTGCCATCAGGAGAGTAGTTAGGAATGTGTCCATGTGAATCAAAGTCAACACGCATGCTGGGATGTAGAATTTTTCTTGTTGCAGAAAAGGTTATTTACTGTAGCTGAAAGCACCAAATGGCTCCATTTTTTAAAGGCAGTGTTGGATAAACACACTAAGGCAAGCAAAGTAAAATCATTTTGATATAGCAGGCCCATGGAGATAGGCCCTAATTTAAATGGAAATATAAAGTTAAGCCATTTTTTTCTCCTTTTTTTTTTTTTTTACAATAGGTTGTCTGGGAGACACCCAGTTTTGTTTTAGATTCCGACAGTCTTCTGGCAGGAAGCTCTCAATGCATTGTCATCTGGACCAGTTGGACAGAGATTTACCAATCTACTTAAAGGTTGGAAATATGCTAAAACTAAAAAAGAGTTCTGTCATATTTGTTTTAAACATTCAGAAATACGCTTACATTTTAGTATAGATATGGTAACTCTGATCTAAACTCTGGTGATGCAATTGTATCACCAAATTTTAGACAAGTTATTTAGGAAACCGTCTCAAAGAGATGTTCTTCTAGATGTTTACTAGAAATTCTTTAATTCACCTTTGAACTTTACACTTACAGCGTGTATAATGGTGTCATAGCTTTCTCTTTCAATCTTGGGATTGTAGACTCTTTTTTCTTTATTAATAACATTACCCAGATGTTAACAGTCTGACCACTAACTGGATAATATAACTTTGACTGTGTTCCAGGCAACTAATTCTATTTATGTACATTTGTAGAAGATTTTTGGGTGAAATGTTTGTGAGATGGTAGAAACCTCAAGCTCGCTGAATGAACAAAAATCCTTCAAATGTTACAAAGCTAGAATCAGAACTTTCCTATTCAAATATATAGAATCTTTATAAATGTGGAGTAAATGATCTTTTTAGTATGTGTACTTGCATGATACACTTATCAACAATGGATTTTATAAGAACAACACAGAACATTTTAAAAAATAGGACATAATTTTTACTTTCAAATTATCATACTGCTTTTTTAAACAGAAAGACTCTGCATATTACTATGGCTACGTGTATTTCAGACAAGTTCGAGACAAGACCTTAAAAAGAGGCTACTTCCAGAAGGTAATTAAATGTCTTTAAAAAAAAAAAAAAATCTCCAGGGGCCATTACACTGTAATAAACCTCATTGGTGTGGGAACTGCATCTTCATAGTTTCTGTACAGTTCCATGCACATAAATGTGATTTGCCACCATGTATTGTAAAGCAGGGCTCAAGCTTTGGCTGCATTCCCTCCTGGGGCACATGGAAGCTCCAGTCCCTGCCTGGCCATGCAAGTGTCCCAGGGCCAGAGCTGCTAACACTGCTGTATGGCAGGGCAGGGGCCAGAGCTTCCACATGTTCTGGGCAGGGGCTGGAGTTTCCATGTGCTTGGGAGGGACTGAAGCTGGAACCTCACCTGACAGGAAGCAGTGGCAGGCAGTTGGACAGAAACTGTGTGTGTTTGTGATGGGGGCGGGGGGCTGGTAGAGAGCAGGGGTGGGAGACGGAGGCTGCAGAATGGAGCAAGTGTAGGGGCAGGCACTACAGAGGGGAAAGAAGCAGGGGCAAGCACCAGAGTACTTTCTCCCACTTAGAAAAAACAGTTTTGAGAAACAGCAGGTAGTTCACTTAGTTATTTGGCAGCATTAAGAAAAGGTGTTATTCTTTCTACATGATAAAATGAAACAGTGTGTTAACTGTCATTTAAATGACACCATATAGTCAGGTCCTTGAGAGTATTGTCCAAGTGCACACATTCTTCAGACCTAATTTCCTTTTTCTAGTAACAATAGTAGAACTTGTTCACGTGTTTGTTAAACAGCTTTAGTATTTGTTTACACATCCTGTGAAAGAAAGAAACTATACCAGACCTATTTGGGAGACAGGTAGTATACAGTTTTAAAACAGAAGAACATTGTCTTTGCTAAAAAGGGAAATCTTGGCATATTGTTCTGAAGAGAACAGGAATGGAAGAGTTTTAAGCCTCTCTGTGGACCAAGCTTTAAATGCTGTTCAAAGCTTTGTGAGAAAATATCCTTACTTATCAAATGTGATTCTTGCTGTATGTTTGGAGAGTTGTAATTGTGGGTAGAATTTGGCTTACAGAATACAAATTACTTTTAATGGTGATGATACAAAGTGAAAAAGGGACTCATTTCTTTCAGATTGTGGATTGAGTTGGCACACTTTCCCATTTATTTAAGTCATTTTGTTATTTGAGGAAAACTTGAAAAAAAATTAACACAAAAGTAGGGTTGGAGTATTGTTGTAGCTGTGATGGTCCAAGAAATACTTGAAAAGCAAGGTTTCTTTTTATTATATCTTTTCAGGGGGGCAGAGGTAGTAAGTCAGGCCAGAAGGCAGGGTAGATTTGCACTTTATAGATTAACTAAATCAGGGAAGAGAGACAGAGTGATTTAGTTGGTCTATAAGCTGCAAATCTACCCTATCTTTTATTGGAGTAATTGTACAGCTGAGCGATGTTAGGCAAGCTTTCAGGCACAGAATGTTTTGTCCATATGTCATTTTGAACCCAAAAGCTTGCCTAACATTTTTCTCAACTTTACAGTTGTGCCAATAAACGAAATTGCCTTGAAAACCTTGTGTCTTGATGCAAGTCATTTTTTGCAGCCAGTCTGCCTGCATGATTTTCTGTTTCTAGAGCAAGGCTACAAATTATGAAACAAGTTGGTAACTTGTTATTTGTAGGTCAGTGTGTAGTTGTTTTGCAACAAAAAGGTAATTACAAGTTCACACTTGAAGACTTTTAGTTAAATTGTATAGTATTTTAGAAAGAGACTAAATTAAAATGATATAATTATGCATTGGTGTTATATGCTCTCTTCCAGTCCTTGGTTCTCATCAGCAAGCTACCATATGTTCACCTCTTCCACACTGTGCTTAAGCAAATAGCACCAGAATATTTTAAAAAGAGTGAACCTTTCCTGGAAGCAGGTTAGTAATAATAGTTCACTATTCTGCAAAAGTGTTTCATAAAAATTGCAAAACTCCAGAGAACAAGTGAGCTAAACATAACATTTCTTAATCTTATTAAAAACAAAATATATTGCAGCTTGCATACTTTTCTATCTGGAAGAAATATTAAAGCTCTGAGAAGCTAAGTTGAAAAGTTTTTTGTTTTTTTTTTTTTACCTTCTAGACAATTTTAAACATTTACTAATCTGGTTCTTTACAAGGATAATTTGATGTTTCTCTTTGAAGAGCCAAAAGCCTTGTCTTCTAAGTATAGGGATCATCAGTGCAACACAGATTGCTGGCCTTAATTTTCATTGTTTCACCTTAATTTTCTCTTCCCCACAATTTGGATTCACTGTCTGTAAATACATTTGCTGCTCTTGAACTGAAAAGAAAGGAAGCATATAAGGAGAAGGGAGTTGGCCTAATGGCCAGTTTATCCTTACAGGAGATACCGGGTGGCACTTCTGAATTTCCAGAACAGCTGGCAGGGAAAGTGAGAGTTTAGGTTTGCCTTCATTTCACCAGAAGCAAGAAATTATCAATAACAAGTGCTTCAGCCCTATGTCAGTTGTGAGATGTATTTCCCATTCTGGTCCTAATATGGTGTGTCTCACTCACCCTGAACCACATCTTGTTGCTTTGTGCTTCAGTAAACAGCAATCTGGGAATCCACTTTTGGTGGGATTTGCATTTGTATGTTGTACAGCCGTTCAAATGAATGTATTCCAACCTTTGATCAGAAAAACAAATATTTTCTTTTGTGCTTAAACCTGGCAACTGTTCGACTCATTAATGGTAATAATAATAATAGTGGTATTTAATGAGGGTATTCATATTTATAATTCTATAAATGCTAGAAAATCCAAGATGAAAATCTTTACAGATAAATTGCTTTAATATTGATGTTTCACTAATACTTCTTGTTTGTATCTTCTTTTTTTTAATTACCCAATGTGAGTTTTGTGCACAGAGCTAATTTACCTACAGTATTTACTTGAATATAAGATGAGGGTTTTCCTCCCCACATTCAGCATGGGGGAAAAATATCTTGTCTTGAAATCAAGAACAGGCCAGTCAAGCAGTTGCTGTGGCTCCAGGGGCAGCCCAGGATGGCTCATGTGGCAGGTAGTGGGGCTGTTGCAGAGCATGGAAAAGGGGCATGTGGTATGGGGGGAGCACAGGGGAAAGGGCAGAGGTAGTGACTAGATAGAGTGGAGGGGGGTGGTGTGGGGGAAAGGATGCATTAAGTGAAGGGGCACAGAGAAAGGGACACAGAGCAAGGGGAGCATAGTCTTTCCCCTGTGCATTGTACACCCACCCTCCGACATCCCATCCCCTTGCTCTACGCATCCTTTCATCTGTGCTCCCTCCACACTGTGTGACCCTTTCCCTTGTTTCCCCAACACCGTGCACCCTTCCTCCTGCATCAGGAGGGGTGTGCAGTGTGGGAGGAGCATGGAGGAGGTGTGGGGAGGGGGCACACAGTGTACACAGGAGTGCAGGGTTAAGTGTGTGTGCTGCTGGGGGACTCTCAGAGCAAGAGGAGCATGGGGAATGTGGGGAAAGGGATGCCTAGGGCACAAGAGAAGTGGAGCACAGAGTAAGAGTGCAGGGAAGTGGTGCAAGGGGAGCACAGGGAAAGGGACATGCAGAGCAGAAGGTGTGGGGAAAGGGACACAGAGTGGTGGGGGAGCTGCTGCAGCTCCAGCCCTGACCCTGACTGGGAGGCTGAAACTGGAGCTGCTACTGCCTGGCTTGGCTGCATGCTCTGTGCCCCCAGTGGAGATGGAGCAAGAGTAGTTGCAAAGGTAAGGGGCAGGCATGAGGGGTAGAGAGGGACAAGGGGCACATGGTAGGCTGCCTGCCCCCCAACCACTGTTTTCCTTGCTACTTCTTTTCCTGTGGCAGCAGTAGAGGCTTGTCTTAAATTCCTCTCTCCCAACAACTAGGTTCTAGACATGGAATATTAAAACATTTATAATTTTCCGTGTCTACAATCCAATAATGGGGTGGGGTGCTATGTTAACTTCAGGGTTGTCTTAGATTCAAGTAAATATGGTAATCATTTATTCTTTTTACTGTCTCTTAGATAAGTTTGAACAGTGCCCAGGGAATCTTTACCCTGATTGGGGTCTCTGGCTGCTACTGAATACAACTCTTAAATTAAAAGTAGACCGTGTTACCCTTTCTTACTAAACCAACTGAATAACTTGAGTGTAGTGATAAGTCTCTAAAATATTTAATTGGAAAGGTGACATGGGGTGACACTGGGGATAAGTATTCAGTTAAGACTTGAATTTTGTGCATACTGAACAGTTTATTTGAACAGCTTGGAGCGTTGCAGAGATGGCCTGTACATACGCTGAACATTTATTTAACTGTGTTTTTCAGTTTGTAGTGATGTTGATCGTTGGCCCCCACCAATTCCAGGGAAAATACTTCAGTTGCCTATTATGGACATTATAATGAAGGTAAATGTGTTTAATTTTCAGCTTGGATTTAGTTGCATTTACTGTATATATTCAGTGTGTTCTGCATTGTTTATGCTTAGGAAAAGATATAGATGTGCATTCAGCTCCTGATTAAGTTTGGGAGGATCCAGATTAAATATTTTGGGTTCTTTGGAAGCAAGAACATAAGTTGGTAGTGAGCGGGCCGGGAGCGCCCCGAGCCCTTTTTCGCGCTGCACGCGGGCTGTGGCCAGCAGCCCGGGCACGCGGGGGTGGAGAGGGAAGGCCTTCGCTCTGGAATTAGGCATGGACGCGTATCGGTAGTTTAAAAGATTGTTTACTTACACCGAGATGGCAGTGGTGTAGGCTGGAAAGCTTGATTAAGTTGCAGTTACAGACAGACACAACACAGACGGTCTCGTGGAGGTTGCTAGGCTCCACGGTGCAGAGCTCCGGATGCTCTGGGTGAACAGGCCACCAATGTAGAAATCGTAAATACGTCTTATATTAGTCGCGCTCGAAGACGGGAAGAGGTGGGCAGTGGATCAGCCCGCCACGCTCCTCTGGATCTCACACAGGGTTTCTATTACCCTGCCATGTATCCAGAGTCCCCACGAGATGAATGTGGAGTCCTCTTCGGCTTGGGCGGAAACTGCTCAAGCCTCTTATACGGCTAACAGGCCAATCATTAGCTGCCACGTGTGAATAATTTAGCACTAGCCAATCACGGGGAACGAATTTGCATACCGGTGGCGGGAACTCTTTTGCACCGTGCATTCCTCTTGCAACTCGAGCAATGCGCTCTGCAAAAGAAGCTGCAGAAAAGGCGGGAAACTGGTCCCTGCACCGGGGTTTTCCTCTGCAACAGGAAACTCCCGTGCAATGCTCTGCAACTTAACGTGGATAATTCTGATGCCGAAGCGCACACACACACAATCATGCCTTTTGGGTCATGACAGGTAGATGCATCTATGTTATCACTACATTTTCATACACAAATATAATTCTAGTCTGCTATTATTCTAGAATATACTTTCCAAGTGGTTTTCATACCAAGTGTTGTTAAAGAGTCAAAATGGGTGTTAGCAAAAATTTTACGATATTTAGTACCAAACTCTACTACATAAATGGAACTCCAGTGTAGTTAGGGGTACACTGATGTATATGCTTAAAAGAAAATATGCCCTATCCCATAAGTTAAATAGCCTCCTAGTCAATGTGTGCTTTGATAGTCTCAGAAGTTAGAAAGTTTCAAAACCGCATCTACTGTCAATCTTAAATAAAATTAACTATTTCTAAGGAAAGCTATAGAAGAAGCTATAGCTAATGCATGCTAGTCCGGGAAAACTGCAGTGAGCAGATGCTCAATTAGAACGGAGGGCAGCTGGCCACCAACGTTCCTTTGTAGGTTTGAAAGGATTCCATGCAGCACAGTTAGAAATATGGATGATTTTCAATTTCATGTCTAAAGGCATGTGTGTTTGCAAAGAAAAGTCTCTCTGAGGTAATTGTAGAGAATCAACTGTCACTAATAAACCAGTGATTTCTACCTGGCAGGTGTCAGACTTGTCCTTTTAAAAGGACAGGAAGGACCCCAAAAGAGATTTCAGTTTTCAGACACACGAATGGAGAGTGCTGTTTTATAATGGCCTTGTTATTTTTGCCTCTTACATACAAACGGTAATCAATATCAGGGCTGTTTTTCCATTATTGTTAGACAATTACAGCTTCATTTTAGACTGTACTCTTGATCCTCCGTTCCACAGGCTCTGCAATGCATGTGTGCCTTCAGGCAATCCAATAACAGCCACAGATTATGAGGGCAGGAGCTACATTACAATTTTTCAGTTTGGTTTGGTCGCAACTAGTACTTGCCAAAAAGTCTGGGGTTTGGAGGAAAATTTTCTAATGGCAATTTTAAACTGAAAACTATAAACCTTTCTGTCTTCTCTTCGGTTCCTTCTGGACAGCAACATCTGTGGTATTTTAGAAATTTCTTATTTTTTGCTTTGTCTTTTAAAAAGTGACTAGTTGAATTATTTGCTACGAGTTTTTTATAAGATTAAAAATGACACTGAAAAATTCTTAGCTATAACATTGCTGGGGGTGGGGAGGGAGTTATGCATGCAGGTACTAGAAAACAATTTAAGCACCACGTGAGTGACTTTTTTGAACATTACATCCTGTCTCATGGGTGATGTTCTAAGCTTAGGTTTAGTTGGATATAAGGGAAATTAATTCCTAACTTTTTAATTCCAAAGGTGCGGATTCCAACGTGTCACGACAAGCCTGGAACAACTCAAATAGTACAGTTCACGCAACAGGTAGCGCTCAGATATTGTTATGGTTCAGAACAATGAGAGAGCTCGTATCTTTGTTTTAAGTGACCCTCTCAGCTGTGTTAATCTGTTGTGTTCTGAAGGATGAATTATTCAACATCAGTTTTCTTGGTCAGCTTTTCAGGATAAATAAATGAAGGCAGCCTGTATTATGGCCTTACCTGTACAAACTTTAACAAGCTTGGTAATAAAGCTATGTCCATTTTAAGTTGTTTATTTTTGATTTCTAAATGGGGGTCAGACAGTAACAGATATGTTATGTTGCAAGGAAAAGTGGTATTGTAATGAGTTTAGTCAGGCCCCAATCTGTTGAAGGTTTTGAAGATCAAACTGCATATATTTACTTGAACATGGAGAACAAATGTCAACAACCTCCTATTTACAAGGAGCACCACTGTGCTACAGTACATGTCTCTGCATCCTTGTGTCTCATTCTCTGCGCAGTCTGATTTATTTCCCGATACACTGCTCCTTTAAACAACATTTTAAGGAGGAGCAGCAAATCTGCTTCTTTCATGTATTGATATGCTGTGATTTACAAGGTTCCCTCCAAGCTGCGTGTGTGCACAGCCACACACAATTGAATACCATGCCACGCACTAACTTATTAACGCCGCACACCTGCCCGGAGAGGAGCTGGGCTGCAGTGTGGCAAGGCAAGGTGGGTGCTGGGGGCTGATGCGGGCTCTGCTGGCACTGGGGAACTGCTCTGCTTCCCAGCCCCAAGGCCATGTGCCTCCTCACTCCCAGAGGAGGGACACATGCAGAGTTTGACTTCCCCAGATCTCAGATTAAATGCTGCAAGCAGCAGCGGCTCAAGGCAGCCAAGAGCACATCCTGACATTTCACTCCTCTTCAGACAGCTCTCCTAGCACCACTGTTTACGCAGCCCAGTGCACCATGGTCAGATTTATTTTGGTTACCTGCAGCAGGGAAAAGTGCGTGGGACAGAGCAGGGTGGTGCAGAACCTGGGTCTGCATCGGAGGAAAAGGAGCAGGCGCAAGGAATCATTCCTAACCATGATGTAGTTTCGGGGTATGGTTACACCTGTGTTGGTCAAAGGACATGGGCAGACAAGGTGCTTTGGCTAAATTATATCACATTTACCCAAAGTACTTTGTCTAACTATGACATAAGATTTCTGCATCATGAATGGGGAGTCCGCATTACTGGCTCTGAGGAACTGCTCTGCTCCAGCCCCCAGTCTTGTGCTTGGAGGATTATTGCAAAATCTATTGCATGAGGATCCATTACATGAGGATTGAGTTGACTGGCAGAAAAGCAGCTATATTTGCTGTGATTAATTACTTAGATGTGATATGGGAACATAAAAGCTGCTTGCAGATTTAAAAAAAAACAAACAAAAAAACCCCAGACAAACTTGCCACACTTTACCAGAAGAAGCCGCACATTACTTCAGCCTAGCTCTGCAGTGTCTGTGTAAATCGGGTGCTTCAGTTGGGCTCTTTGATACATTTATCTAAAGCTGAGTCAATCGGCTATTAGATAAAAGCTCCAAAAGAACCCCATTAAAGCACCTGATCTATACAGAAATCAGACCTGGGTTTAACTAACACTGTGCCTCCTCTGGGCATGTGCTCCTTTGGGCATGTGCTGGGCTTGGCACAGGTGTGCAGCGAGTTTAAAGTCCAGCACCAGGGTTGTTTCTAACGTCTGCAAGCAGCCAAAGGGGTGTCTGCAGGAGAGAGTGATGATGTACAGAAATGTAATGATTCACAGAACCTGTTGACAAATCTCTCTCTCTCAAATGGAATTCATGAAGGGCTTATGTGATTTGTTTCTGGTGAATGTTCAATAAACCGAAATGTCAGTGTATCTTTTTCTCCTTTCTAAACATGTTTGCAGTTTCTGTGGCTTGATACTAGAGCAATGGCTTTGTCTAAGTGGTAAAACAAGATGATTGTAGAACTAATTTTGTCCTAATTTGTCAAAGAGGAAAAATGGGATTTTTATTCCTTTGTTCAGTTAGATATTTTATCTCAATCTAGGTGCATGTGCAATTACAACATGAAAAGTAATGGAGCAAAAGGACCAACAGTTGATCTGATAATTCAATCCCCCATAAAATTATCACTTCCATTATACTAATTTAAATCCCTCTCTCTGAGCTTAGGAAAGTCATCTTTTCCTGTGTCCTTTCGCAATGAATGCTTGGCATCATCCTTGTTTTAATTATGGAGCTTTGACTTGAGTACCTTGGATAACAACTGCAGTTCTATTTCCCATGGAGAAAGGAAATTAATTCATAAGCAATATAAGGCTTTGAGAGATGACCAACATCTTAAATTCCCTTGGAAAATAATCAATAGTAGGCATAGACTTTCATGTACTCAGGAGCTAAGTTCTCTTAAAGTTGTCTTTTTAACTGTGAGATTTTGATATATGGAGTATAGTTTCATTAGCATCTAGTCACTACCTCTGCCCTTTCCCCTGTGCTCCCCCCATACCACATGCCCCTTTTCCATGCTCTCCAACTCTCCTGCTACCTGACTAAAAATTGCTATTTGTTGAACAAACCAAAACACCACAAGCTTTGTTTTTAGCCATAAGATGAAAACATATACTTAGCCAACTGGTCTAGCTGTACTTTCAGATGATAAAAACCAACAAAACCTTGTTGGTTGAAACCTCCTAAATATTTTGCAACCCTTCTGAGCTGAAATACTTTGCAACCCTTCTGACTTGCACTAGTTCAAGAAACTTTTATTGATGATATCCTTCATTTACCCTTAGTACAATTAAATAACTGTTTTGGAGAGTGCAGAGCACATACTCTATATTTGAATAGTGTCTGCAAAACAGGGAGGATAGCTGTTTTAATCAATATTCATGCCGCCTTGCATTATGTACACTGAAAGTTAATTTTCTGTCTTTCAGACAGACTCTCAAATTGCTGTTGCCTTGCCCACTGTTCATGAAGTGGATCTTTTCAGGTAAAAATTTGACCTGATTTTTTTTTTCCAGTAGTTTTGAATGCCTACAAATCCAGGTACAGTTGATGGCATCCTCAGAAAACATGACTTGGGTAAAAGGCAGAACAGTTGTAGCACCTTTTAAACAGTTAACTCTAACTACATTTCCAGTGTAACAAATAGGGATGTGTTCTGGAGGGGGTGATGCTGGGACTAGGGAAGGGGCAGGGGAGGGGTATTGCTCCTGGGGCTACACAAGGCAGCAAAGCAGAGGGCACTCACTGCTGGGCTGCAGTGTGCTCTGCCTGTCCCCATTCACCTCTGCTCCTGGGCTGCGCCATGCCCTGGTGCAGGCAGCTGGCATTAGCTCCTGGGGCCACTGCAGCTGGGGCTGGGGTGAGCGCTGTGCCCTGTGCTGCCTGGGGCTCTGCTTGTCTGCGCTCACCCCAGCCTGTGCTGGAGCAGCCGATACCAGCTACCTGTATCACGGCAAGGTGCAGCCCAGGAGCTGGGGTGAACCCAGGCGGGGCGGGGGGGGCAGAACACAGTGCAGCCCAGGGGCTGCAGGCAGCTGGTGCTGGCCACTCCCAGGGCTGCCGCAGCCAGGGCTGGGGTGAGTGGGGCCACGGCCTATTCCCCTCCCCACGCAGACTTACCTGCTTGGTTGGGGGGTGGCATCTATGCTGATCACATAAGAGCAAATTTACCTTGCATATAATGAATTATGGGTCTAAATATGCTCATCATATGAGAGTGAATTTGCATATAAAGAACTTGCATAAATCGAGGGAAACCTGTAATAATCAGCTTGAAAAATGGGAGAAAGCTTAATATAATTTGGTGTTATCCTTTTATGGCTAGATATGTAACTTAACTAAAATTTGTATTGCTTTTGGCAAGTTAAGTATATTGAAAATGTCCACACACTCTCTCTCTTAATCTGTTTTCAGGTGTTTCTGTCCAGTGTTCTTTCATATCCAGATGCTCTGGGAACTTGTGTTGTTAGGCGAACCACTTGTTGTCATGGCACCATCACCTTCTGAGTCTTCAGAAACTGTTCTGGCTCTTGTAAGGTAACTGTGACAGCTTCCTTACAGTGATCAAATGATCAGAGGCACATTAAAGTTAAATTGAGCCAAGAGCAGCATTGGATAACCTCTGCTGAAGCTGTACATATTTAATGCTGTTTTGTCTTCCTCCACTAAATACTTTATTGTATGTGCGCGTACATGTATATATGCGTGCGTACATACATGCATAATACTTTTTTATATATATTTATGTGTGTGCATACTACATTTATTTTCTCCATTTCTGTTCCACAGTTGTATTTCACCTTTGAAATACTGCAGTGATTTTAGGCCGTACTTCACAATACATGACAGTGAATTCAAAGAATATACTACACGTACACAAGCCCCGTAAGTATGCTTAAACCACTGTTGTAAAACTATCATGTGCAAGTCATGATTTTGTATAACGCTGACAGTGGAAACTAACTTTTCAAGACTGGAAGGAAACCTGTTACTTGTTTTGACACTAAGCTATAGCTGAGTATTTTAATTGGAGTAATTCTTACTACTAAAAAATAAAGGTAAAGCCTTTTGTCATAATCTTGTAATCATCTCATATTTGGAATAATACTTGAAGTCGACAGGACTTCTGTATTCAAGATTGGTAAAAGGTTTGAACTCTCATTTAAACCTTTGAGCTAACAGTGTGCCCTTGTTGTTAGTAGGAGTGTTGCCAGCAGGGCAAGGAAGTGATTCTTCCCCTCTATTCAGCGCTGGTGAGGCCACATCTGGAATGCTGTGTTCAGTTTTGGGCCCTCCACTACAGAAAGGTTGTGGACAAATTGGAGAGAGTCTAGCAAAAGGCAACAAAAATGGTTAGGGGGCTGGATGATGTGACTTATGAGGAGAGGCTGAGGGAACTGGGGTTATTTAGTCTAGAGAAGAGATTTGAGAGGCGATTTTAATACCAGCCTTCAACTACCTGAAGGGGGGTTCGAAAGAGGATGGAGCTGGACTGTTCTCGGTGGTGGCAGATAACAGAACAAGGAGCAATGGTCTCGAGTTGCAGCAAGGGAGGTTTAGGTTAGATATTAGGAAACGGGTTTCTACTTTTGAGAGTGCCTTTTTTAAAGAGGAAGAATTCTGACAAAGCAGTATATCCAAAATACTTTAACATCGACTGGAAACAGGTTTCTACTTCTTCCTAATATCTAACCTAAACCTCCCTTGCTGCAACTCGAGGCCATTGCTCCTTGTTCTGTTATCTGCCGCCACGGAGAACAGTCCAGCCTCATCCTCTTTCGAACCCCCCTTCAGGTAGTTGAAGGCTGCTATTAAATCCCCTCTCAAATCTCCTCTTCATAATTGCTTATAGATCTTACTGTGACCTTTTTAAATCTACATGCAACTCTCCATGGGATCCCAATCATAGACTTGTATTAAAAATATATTTTATTGAAATATTGTAACTTAATTGGGGGTGTGCTGTTTTTTGTTTTCTTTACTCATCATTTTCAGAATAAGATTTCTTTAAAGTCTGAAGTCACTGTTATATTGACATTGTGTTTTGTTTGTTTTTTAAACTCTTTCCAGATAATGTTCCAGTGGAACAATATCTAAACATGGATACTGTATTTCACGGTCCTGTTATTTTTTAGAAGCTAAATTGCATATTACATTATCAATCCCATGGAATACACAGTTATAGTTGGTTAAACTTTAGTGACCTGTCCCTGAAGACATAATTCACTGATGTATACCAGAGTGAGATTTTTTTTTTTTTTTAAACTTCTGGTTTAGTATCATTTGTTTTGTGAAATGGAGCTTGCATCCATGTGTTTTCTTCATTAAAAATTTAAGAGTGGAAACAGGTTTCTACTTTTGAGTGCCTTTTTTAAAGAGGAAGGATTCTGACAAAGAAGTATATCCAAAGTACTTTAACATCAACTTTTCAAGAGGATTTTTTTCTTATAATGAAGCTTTGTTTCGCTGTGCTATTCCCTTCGGAAGTTAGAGACTTTATTTTTTTTAAAACAAAAGGTAAACTAAATCTAATGAGCTTAATTCTGGGGAAAAGGAGTTATCGTAAAAGCCCCTTTAAAGACTGAAAATACCTTTTCTCAGAACAGGTGCACAGGTAGCACCAGCACACAGTTCTTCATATTTTAATGCCAGCGTGCTTTGCGCTTGAGCTAGAGAAGTGGTTTGTACAGGTGAAAGGACTTTCTTTCCCAGTGGTAAAAGAAGTGCCAATACAACCTTTTTTTGTAATCTAGATACCTGTGTCAAGAACTGGAAAGACCACTTAACTCGCATGAAATAGGACTCGGTAGCCATGAAAGGATCCAGTCACTAGGGGTGTCTACATGTGGTCTGGAATGGGAGGAGGGGTGTTTTAATTTGAGTGGCTCCTGGACAGCTGCTCTAATTTAAAATGCTGCAGCATCACATGTATTCAGCTTCCCCCACTTCAAAATGGCTGTGGGGGGGTGCGCTTTAACTAAAGCTCATTCAAAGAGTTTTAGTTGAAGCCGCCCTCTCCTCCTCCTCCTCCTTCCCCCCCCCAAATTTGGAAATGCGAGACACACTGAATACATGTGATGCTGCAGCTTGCCGGAGTGTTCCAGTTAGAACGCTCCAGCAGACTTGATTATTTGGAGCACGTGTATAGGCACCCTAGCAGCTTAGGCTAGGCTAGATATGAGCCAGTGATGTACAAGAATCTCTCATTATTGATCCTTTGAGACATCCAGTGTTCTTATTCTTGTACTGCTTTTACCACTTGAGATGAACCCAGAAGTTAGTGTAAAGCAAAATATGTTGTGTTTGAGTTTCTGTGGGATGGCCAAGTTAAGTTTTTTGTATGTGTTTTATTTAACATTCTCATGAATGACCTGGAAGAGGGAATAAATAGCATGGCAAGGCGATTGGAAAATGATAATAAATAGAGTGCACTCCCAAATAACAGTGGGAAATAAAGGAACAATTCAAATAAGCTTGAAGAGACTAAAAATGTGAGTAGAAGTCATAAATTTTGTGTGGAAAACAGGAGCCAAAACATGGGAAAACACTTCTTTCCTTCAAGTATGTGCATTTCAAAACAATGAATCTGAAAGATTTAGGGTGGAAAAGGTCAGCCAGGCAGAAATCTCAGCTTACAAGATCTGACTGCAGAGATGCTGATAGAATTAGAGGCTGCACATGAGAAAAGGTCATGGAGCTGTCTTGTGAGACCCTGAAATTGCACCAAGTTGTGAAGTCACATGGTTAGGTTTTGTGATGTCCTTCATGAATGTCTATAGGTGTTGGAAAAGCTGAGTAACACAACAGTACAACTGGGCAGCATTTAGCTAAGAATCAGCAAAATGTGATATTTAGTAGTTGTGCCCCTCTTATTACTTTATAGGTTTTAAAGTAAGATGCATCTGTTCTGCAGCCCTTTGAAAGCTTACCAAAGGAAAGCTCTAAGATGGTAATGCTTCGTCATATGTTGGAAACTTCTTTCTTTGTGTTAATATAAACTTTGAATAACTTTCAGTGTTTGTATTTATTAGGGGGAGAGAAGCTATTGTTTTCATGTTTAAAGAACCTTTTTTTTTTTTTTTTTCTTTTCAGACCCTCTGTCATCTTAGGAGTGACAAATCCTTTTTTTGCTAAAACGCTTCAACACTGGCCACACATTATTCGAATAGGAGATATTAAACTTCCAGGTAAAGTATAAACTCTTCTACAGTACTCTACTATAGGCTATATAAAATATCATACCTTTCCTTTAATGAAATCTTAGATGCTAAAGCAGGAGCCGTTACACTTGCATGCTGCTTTATGAAGCTATTTGTAGGTCTGAGTTTATGTAAAAAAACTCCATCTACGTTGCACGTGTAACTTAAGGATGATAAGTAAATTCAAGTGCTTTGTGTCACTTTGTCACATCCATCTAGTATCCATCTCTATGTCTTTGAGGTAGGAAGCAGTAATAGCCATTAGCTTCCATGTTTGTTCATTGATATTTAAATGTGTTCTGCTTTCATACCTCTACCACGAGTGTAACAGCTGAAACCTTCTGCTCAAAGGTAACATTTTACTAACTGTCACTAAACATGACCTTTAGTCTGTGTGTATTTTTCTTCTTGCATTTTCTTTATTTTAGAATCAGAAAAATATAGGACTAACAGTTGCTAAAAAGTACACACAGTATTACTCGTAACCATAAAGCTTAACAATTGATGCAACAGTAGTGTGAAATTACACATTCACCAGTGTAGTTTTTAAACATATTAAATGTTAAGTCATTACAGCTGTTAAGTTTGATTTTTTTTTTTTTTCTTTACCCCAACTGAAATCTGTTAGCCTCTTGCTATCCAAAAGGTAGCTTCCCAGCCAACAGTAGTAATATTATGCATCGTTATGATTGTGATGTGAAGTAGAATCATAGAAAATTAGGGTTGGAAGGGACCTGAAGAGGTTATCTAATCCAGTCCCCTGCTTAAAGCAGGATCATTTCCAGCTATATTATCCCAGCCAAGGCTTTGTCTAGCCAGGTCTTTAAAAATCTCCAAGGATGGAGATTCAGCAGCCTCTCTGGGTAACCTGTTCCAATGCTTTACTACCCCCTTGTGAGGTGTTCTTTTGTTTGGTTTGGTTTGGTTTGGTTTTTTTCCCTAATATCTAACCTAAACTTCTCTTGTAGCAACTTGAGACTGTTGCTCCTTGTTCTGTCATCTGGCACCACTGAGAATGGTCTAGTTCAGGGGTCAGCATAGTTTTTAGGCAGAGTGCCAACAAACCTGGAAACCTCAACTTGCAAGATGTTGGTGTGCCAGGGGTGGATGGCAGGGGGACCTGGATGGGGTCCAATCCTTGTTGTGGCAGCACAGCCCTGGCCCTTTCTTTGCTGTCCACCCCAAGGCTTGCGTGCATCCACTACTGGCAACAAGTCAGGCCAGGTCTCCATGGACCCCGGTGCAGGTGCTTGTAGCCTCCCTGCTGCATACAGCCTGGGCTTCATGGTTGGCAGCAGGGGCATGTCCAAAGCCCAGGCCATCTGTGGTGTTCCAAGCAAGATGGCTTTGTATGCTATGCTCTGGCACGTGTGCCAGGGGTTGCTGACTCCTGGTTTAGTTCCACCTTCTTTGGAACCACCCTTCAGGTAGTTGAAGGCTGCTATTAAATCCCTTCTGTCTTCTCATATCCAGACTTAGTAAGCCAAGCTCTCTCAGCCTCCCTTCAGAAATCATGTCTCAGCCCCGTAACCATTTTCATTGCCCTCCATTGGACTGTCTCCAGTTTGTCCACATCCTTTCTGTACTGAGGGGCCCAAAACTGAACACAGTACTCCCAGATGTGGCCTCACCAATGCCGAAGAGGGGAAGAATCACTTCCCTTGATCTGCTGGCAGCGCTTCTACTAATGCAGCCCAGTATGCTGTTAACATCCTTTGTAACAAGGGCACACTGGCTCATATTCAGCTTATTGTCCACTGTAACCCCCAGGTCCTTTTCTGCAGAGCTGCTGCTTAGCCAGTTCAAGTACCTGAACTCAATCCCCCTTTGTCTAGGTATGTACGTTTATTCTGCTCTGGACCAAGAATGTAGATGTTACTTAAAGCCAGCATATTTCAGCCTGAAATGCTTTTTTTGTAAGAAAATATTCAGTAGTGTTCCACTTCCTGAGGATAATCGTTGGTATTAGCCTTGGTACTGTTTTCACCAGACCTTGAGAAGCTTTAGAAAGAGGAGGAAAGATAATTAAAGTAGAAATTCATGGTCCCATAATAAGGTAGTAGAAAATAGATTACCTGTCAAAGCTTCTTTAAAATCCTAGTGTACAATTGAAATTTGTTTTAAAAAGTTAGTGTACCACTTCAAGGTCAGAACACTGTTCAGCCCAAACTTATGGCCATTTTAATCAAGTGGATCCTGATACACAAATTTTCCTAAAGTGTTTTTTAACTTTTTTATGTGCAAAGGTGAGGAGAAATCTCTGAGCAGCATCTGTACAGCTTATAGTACTGCACTTGACTGCCCCTTTTGAAAGCTAGTGTTCAGCTCAGTGATTCTCAGCTAGGGCGCCACAAGATCCTTTGAAGAGTGCATCTGGGGCATCATGAGAGAGAAGCCAGGTGTGAGGAGGTAAGCAGATAAGGGCAAGCTCAGGCAATTCCTCCACTGCCTGCCCCTCTGCAAAGAGATGAGCACTATAATAAATAAGATGCTCAATTCACAAAAGTTATGAAGGGGGTGCCTCAAGTCTAGTGAGGGGTGCCTTGCATCTGTTGAGTGGTGCCCCAAATCTAAAAAGGTTGAGAACTGCTGGTCCAGCTAAACATGACAGCGAAGTTGTCTTATTTTTGACTCTACAGAACAGCATCAGGCTCCTTTGAACTATTTATGAAATGTCAGCAGGGTGCAGAGATTCTTGGCTAGAGGAAGAAGCAAGAGGTCCTACCTCAAAAACAAAAAAAGTCAGTGCTTGCCAAAGGGAGCATGCCCTGGGTTTGGAAGCTAGGAGGCTGAGTTCAGGTCGTCTCTTCTGACTGCTCTTTATATTTCTGGGTACTTCACAGTTTTGTGGTTGACCAAATGTTTACTTTCACTGAAGGCTTCTGCCCCAGGTAACCCAGAGGGGGAACTGGATAAAATGTTAGAAAATTAATGGAGAAGACAATCCTTCATTACTATGCATGGATTTTTTTTTCTTTTGTGACCATGCTACAGGCATCTTGAAAGAAAAATGGACACTTTTTTCACATTTTCTCCAGTTGAGTGTTTTTATTTGTAATGCACATCAGTTAAATGAAAAGCCTGTAAGACTATAAGCAGTCTGTGTATTAAAATTTGTATGAATATATTTTAGTTCAAATGACTACCTACATTTGATACCTTTTATTGTACAGGTAATAAAAAGGTTTTGTAAACATTTGGTGTATTAATTGTGGTTGCATGTATTAGAAGAACAGGACTGACAGTTGTGATGGTATTAAATATATTTGCAGGAGAAGTTCCAAAGCAGGTGAAAGTGAAAAAGCTGAAGAACCTGAAGACTTTGGATTCTAAACCTGGTAATACATCATTGTTTGCACTTAACCTAAATCTTACTGTTGATTCCTTTAAAAAATATGCATGGTTTGCTTTCTGGCTGTATACCCTTTTTGTTGTTTTTGTCTTTTAGGTGTTTATACATCTTATAAACCATACTTAAACAAAGATGAAGAAATTATAAAACAGTTACAGAAGGTAACCTTAAATTTGTTGACTGAAACTATTTTGAATGCTGCTTGTCCGTCCTTCCTCTAAGAACCTAGAGAACTGAGATGATTAATCAGTTTTTTTTTTTCCATACTCTGTTTCCAAACCTGTACATTTCACAGTTGTGAAGTTTTCAATATGGCACTTCGAAGCTTTAACTCAGGGGTCGGCAACCCCCCACACGCATGCCGAGTATGACATGAGAGGCCATTTTCCTTGGTATGCCACTGCCAGCCTGGGCTCTAGGCAGCTGCTGCCAGCTGGGAGCATGGGCTGCTGCCAGCAGGTGGCTAGGAGGCTGCAAGCCCTGCTGCAAGCAACCCATATACTAATATGCAGTGCACCCTGTCATGTACCCCCTGCCCTCATTTTGTTGTTCTGGCATGCCAGCACTCCAATACCTTCCACAATAGACATTGTGGGGTTTTTTGGCACTCTGGCCAAAAAATGTTGCCTACCCCTGCTTGAGAATAAACTTTCTCCTAGAATTTCTGTTTCTGATTCTAGATGAATTTAAGGTGTAGAAGCAAATACAGCTTAAATAGCAGAGAATCATTAGAAGCTGTATTAAGACTATTACATTTAATGTTCCATTTGAATGTTTTTTTTGACAGTGCCTTAATTTATTTTTTATAAACTTTGGGGGGGGGGGGTATTTTTTTTGATGGACACATGCATTGATGGAGCATACATCTGGTCATGCAGTTTCCCCTCTCCTTAATTATTCAGTAACTAAAAATAAGTCTTGTTTCCACAATGGGTATTAATAGGTTACTACTGTGTCTGCTTCTTATAGGGTGTACAACAGAAACGTCCTGCAGAAGCCCAGAGTGTAATTCTTCGGCGTTATTTCTTAGAGCTGACACAAAGCTTCATCATTCCATTAGTAAGCTGGCATTTATCGTGTCTGTTACTTAACACACACGATGTATTTTTCTACAGTGTCCAGTTGTTACAAAAAGCTAGCATTCTGCACTAATAACTTTTTTTTATTAATTTTTCTAAATGTAGTGTTTCTTTTATAAAAATCTGTTTCTTGTATAGAGCTAGAACAGGGGTTGGCAACAAGTCTTAATTCACGTGTGTCAGAGGATGGCACATGAGGCTTAGCACACCACAGCTGGCCTGGGTTCCCCTGCCACTGGCTATGGAGCCCAGGTTGCTTACAGCAGGGAAGCTGCAAGCCCTGCTGTGAGCAGCCCAGGCTCCATGGCAGGCAACAGCTGCTCAGAGTCCAGGCCAGATGTGGTAGGCAGACACTAAACTGGTCCCACTGAGTACCATTCCTCATTCTCAAACCCCTTAGTTACTGGAGTGAATTCTTTGCTACCTTTGCTGTTAGCTGGTTGGTTGTTTTCCTTCTACCCAGAACGGACTACTTTGTAAAGTATAGTGAAGGCACACTGATTTTTATATAAATGCAAGCTGTTAAACTAGTTTGTTACAATAGCTTGAGAACTGTTTTAGGTACCCTTTGGGGGTTTTTTGTACAGCTGCATGAAATTTTGAACAAATGAACTATTAATGTGAACTGATTTTTATACTGGCTGCAGCATCACATTTTTATTAAACTATTTTTCTTTGTCCTCAGGAACGTTATGTGGCTAGCCTTATGCCCCTGCAAAAGAGCATATCACCATGGAAGGTAAGGAAATTGTATTCAGAGGATCTGAAAATACTCTAAAGAAAGCTAAGGTTGTAAGTGGCTGAGAACTATTTCTCTTGTAGAGTCCACCACAGTTGAGACAATTCAGTCAAGAGGACTTCATGAAAACACTGGAGAAAGCAGGACCCCAACTCACCTCAAGACTTAAGGGAGACTGGATAGGGCTTTACAGGTTGTTTATTTTTTTTATTTTTTTTAAAACCTGAAATCAAACTAAACGTATTTGGAGAGAAATCAGTAATGTTATGTTCTCCTGGGTGAACCTTTTTTTTTTTGGCTGTACTGCAGTATTAACATTTCTGAT